TTTCCACGCAGATTAGCTGATGGCATTTTGTATAGGGATTCCATATGCAGTGCAATGCAATAGTCTGTTCCTTAGGGAAGTAACAGAATATTAACATAATAGCTTCCTAGAATGAGTTAAGATCTACAGAAAAATACTGTTATGGACATAAACTCATGCCTGACTGGTATCAGTGGACGAGAAAGGAAAAGCCTTTATTCTCACCAATCTCAGAAACTGAGACTGAAGAGACAATATGCAGAGAAAGAATTGCCTAGATCTCTGTTTCCTTATAATCTATGGCCTAAAAGGAAAATACTTATCTGACAAAACGTCCCCCGAGTGTCTTTCCCAGCCAAAAAAAAATTGGATTTGGCAAAAGTTGGAAAATAGTAATTACTGAAAACTTGTTAGTGAGACTAACGAATTTGATTCTCTTATGTATCAGGTGTAGGTGTCTATGTTATGGTAGCAGGAAAGTTTCTCTGTGACAAGAGGCCAGGGGCTGCCCTGGAAGTCAGGAGTAAGTATCCTCAAACTCCCTAGCTAATTTGAGTAATTAATGAGAACAGCAACACAGTCAAATTCACAAAGACCAGCAGATTTTGTCCTTTTTTCTTAAGTCTTCAAGGACAAATAACTATTTTGCAAGAGGAAAGACAAAGGTTTGATATGGTTGACTGTGGAAGATGTGCCTTGCAGGCCTGAGGGATGCTGTAAACTCATAGCATGTAGCCAACCAGCTCTTGATATTTTGGATGGAGCATTATTTCAGGATAACAGTAATGCATGTTTCAATAAGTGGCTCAGCCGTGGTGCCTGAAAGGTTTATTCAGCCTTCAATCAAGAAAAAGTTCCTTGATCTAACCTTCAGTTAAAACACGAGAGTTCAGTGTAACCACTTTCCAGGTTCTCTATGAGCACTAAAGGCCAGACTTGACATTCCTTGCATTCTAGCAGGGAAAAAAAACCCTCAATTATTTGCTCAGAAAAATAATTTGGCCCATCACTTGTTTATATTTCAGATGCTCAGTCAACAGTTTGACACACTGTCATATGCTTTTAGTGATTTTTTTTTTTAAATATTAAAAGAATTTAGTTATTCCCTATGTCTGTGTTAACTGCTTCTTTCAAATATTTTTCCATTTCATTTTTTATTGCATATTCTGAACATAAATTGTTCTCTCCCAATATATTGTAGGAGACTGCAGTACACTGCAGTGATTACAATATTTTACAGTAATCTAATAAGCGTGCTTTCCTCTTAACATTTTTGTTATGCCTATAAAACATGAGTCAATTCAATTTCAAAGCAACTAAAAAACACTGCTCCTGCTGCACTGAAAACAAGTCTTCTAGTGGCTTTGTTTCTAAACTCAGCTTATGCTCTTTTTGCCACTTTCTTTTGTACACAGAGCCTTAAGCAAATTGGTGCAGGTAAAAGTTCTTCTCAATTTCTTATCTAATCCTGCCACTTAAGCCCTAATAAGCTTCCCATTGTAGGTGATTTAAATGGAAGGAGAAATGACTTAGACTGCAGTGTAATTTCAGTGGTAAAACAGCAAGAGATAAGACACTTCTGAAGAGAGCCAGCAACATAATCAGGATCTCCAATAGAAAACAACGATGAAAAATAATCTCTTTTTTTTCTTTAAAAACTGATATTGAGCAGGGACCATAACAATCTCAGTTAACTACAACTTCTCTCTTAAACAGCTGCCACCAGCTTTTGTCAGTGGAGCCACGCTGTTGTAGCTGTGTAGGTCTGAGGTCAGGGCAGGGTTTATACATCCGCATTTACAACTTGCTGTTACAAGCACACTTGTATAAATCATTTGAAAATATATAAAATGTGAGTTAATAAAGCAAAAAATATGTTGTCAGTGATTTCTGAACAGAAAAATAGGCTGAATTCAGATTATAATTTGCAACCAGTAGTCTACTGGGCACTCCTGCCTTGATGCTATTCCATGTCTTTCCACCACTCATTAGTTCAACACTCACACTCCTCTGCATCATATCTAGGCATGAAACATTTAAGTCTCAGCTGTTGTACAGGTGGAAAGGCACACGATCAACAATGAAGAAGAGCAGGATGCCAAAAAGAAAGAAAGAAAAAAAACACAACAAATGGACCAGGGCTGCCAACAGTTTTTCACCTACTGATTATGTACTGAAAGAAAAATGACACTATTGGATCATCTTAGCCAAATATTTGTGGTTCCTATGTAATTTTGAATAGCTAAGTAGCTATCCCTGAAAAAAAAAAAACCCAAGTCCTCAAGAACACTGAATCTATGCGCCAGAAACTTGTCTCCTGTAATTAGTGTAATGTGGAAGTTATATCTGCACTAGCTGAATATCTGGCTCTTAATGGCTCATTTTGTTATTTACATCTGTGCAGAACTGGGAGTTAAAACTATTAGAGCTTTTATGTGTTACACAGCTGAGCAGAAATCAAGAAGCTTGATTATCTACAGGCAACTAAGATGACAACGCCGTGTAATGCTCTGTTAGCTTCGCTGTGGAAAACTCTTTAAGGATATTTAATAATTACTTTTAAGAAAAAATTCTTTGTTGGTGCTAATATTCTCTGTCACCTCTACTGTGTTAAATGTTTGAACTAAAGTTTTTCATTTCCTTGTGGAAAAACATTAATAAAGTAACACGAACAGGACAGTATTTCTTGTAACGTCATATGCAAAAATCATTACTATGTGTTCCAGCCTCTGTCATTACTGCCATGTATTACTGGAAGAAGCCACAAGTTCTCGCGTGCTTTGCTAATGGGATTTAAAAAGACCCACGGATGATCTGAAATATAGGGGCACTGTTAAGTTTGAATAAAGTAAGATTCTCCATTTAAGAATAAGGACATACATAAAGAGATCCTTTAGCTTCACTCAAAGAAAGAGAACGTTTTTTTTCCTTTCATTATTTTATAGGTTTGTTGGCCCACCAGCAACACAGAGCCCACAGACAGCAAAGATGGAGCATAGAAACTCACAAAAGGCACAGTCTATGGATCAAGTGGTTTGAAAGAACTGCGTCTACTAGAAACAGAGGTTGCCTCCCTCCTTGACAATTTTTAATAAAGCTTTTACTGTAACACTTTATCTGAGTTTTTCATCAGTTTTCCACATTCCCATGGAATAAACTTTTCTATCTGTGCCAGTAGAAATATTAAAAAATATTCCATTTATACTACCGTGCCCTGCCCATGCAGCAAAAACTACAAGGTAGCGATTTTATCTCTGTGCTATTCCTGCTCTGTCTGGACTCCCTGGAAGGCTCTTGCAGCCAAGAAGAAGCTTTGGTAGCCAGGGATTTATGAGTTCACTACCAAAATCCAGAGCCAAGCCAGAGGCATGGACAGCCTCCATCTCTCCTAGGTTCTTCGGTCCTGTTAAGGGAGAGCACAGAAGCCCTTCAGCTTTTCTCCAGGAAATGAAAACGAAAATTTTTCTAATATGAAGAGTGTGAGGTAAGGATGTAGGTGGCACGGCCAGGCCTGCTAATTCTGTTTGTTTAGCCCAAATGTAGCCCAGGTAATGACACTTCCTTGACACTTCCCCAGATGTTTAACTGACGTTTCCACCGTACAGCCCTTCTGTAGACTGCAAGGTCATCTATTATTGCACTCATGAAATGGACTACAGGAACCAAAGCCAACAAACTTTTTTTTTTTTCCTTGTATTAAAAGCTTGAGATTGAAGACTGTGTTTATAATTCCCTCTTCTAACAACATACAGGGAAAGTCTTCAAAATAGACCGCATTCCTCCTTCCTTAATTACTCATCCCTTTGTTTTGGAGCAGCAGATGTGAAAGAAGGAAAAAATTACAAATGAAGTTTATGTCTACCATAAGAAAACATTATGAACATAGCAGAGTGTTTGCCCAAAACAACAAGGGAATATAAAAAAGCACTCAAGAATTTACACACCCTGATTGGAAACCCATATAGACTAGTTCTCATCTAAGCTTAACCATATAATGAGAATATTAAACTGTCCTTCAGAGACATTTATTATAATGGAAAGACTTAGCAGTCTTCCTATCATCTCATAACCTTGTAATGGAATTTTACATAAAGAGTTGTTTTCAGGTCACCAGCATACTGAAGGCAGTATAGACATATTATTACTTCTCCCCTGTGAAATATTATCTCTACCTATGTGCTGGATAAAATAAAAAGTGAAAACATGATAAAATTTTATAACATAAACCATTTCTTTTCTTTTTGATTGTAACTAAAAAACACTGTAGCATTGTTCACAAGTATACTGCCCTGTGCCATGACTGAACACACTGCTTTGACAGTGCCAGCAATGAAGTATTTAATCATTTAAACAGATTTTAAACATTAAAATGAAAGGTACTGAAAACAAAACAAGATGCAACTCAAATTCATGACATACTTGAACTGATGGAGACAAAGAAATGATCTTTCAACAGTTTTAACTACCTTTTCCACACAAGAAAACCACTTTACAAGTTTCAAGCCTAATATCAGTCACTATATGTTACTTGACCATGAATTCCAACCATTTCAGATGCAAGACTGGGTAACCAAAATGTTACAGTGAAAAAGAAATAAGGGGTAACAGGACGTCCCTGTGATAAGATGATAGTTTAGGTAGGGACTTCTGGACAAAATCATGAGGATTTTAAAATGTACCTTAAACAATGTTTCAGAAAGAAAAAGAAAAATGTTTGGTTTAAATACACATACGACTTCTCTGCCCCCTGGTGTTATAGCTTGCAAAATTAATTTCCTTTTGGGCGCTGAGTGTATTATAATTACCCTTGCTTTAAAATGTGATGTGAGTGGTCTACTGCTCTTTGGGTTTGTTTCCTGTATTCATTCACAAAAGAAAAAATTATGATAAATTGGTCACAGTTACCAGAACAACTTCTCTACAGTACAGAAAGCCTGGATTTCTAATTACTTATTTTAATGTAATTACTGTTATTCGGGTTTGCCTTTTTCAAATCACGATTTTCTGTCTAGAAAACTCACCTCATCATCATCCATTAGATGTTCCTTTGCAAATTCATACATTTCCAACTGGAGTGTGGTTATGTTGTGATATCTAACTGCATCCTACAGAAAAAAAAATATATTAAATTTCTATGTTACTTGAAGGTAGTAAGACGGAGGAGTGTCATCACATGTCATCTAGAACTATTCAAGTGAAGCTAGACCCAGATTTAGCAGAAGGCAGGTCTCAGAGGATTTAAAATGTTTGAGAAAGGAAACAGCAGAACAGCATACAGCATATCCAATGTCTTCTGCGGATCCTACTAAGCGTAAGCTCCACCGGTGTGAGAAGAACAAAGCACTCTCCTATTTCTCATGTTTCAAAGCATTGGCGAGTCTGAGGATAAGGAATGAGACTGCCAGAGCCAAGCAGCAAGCAGCCTGCGCCTGCATTCCAGTGGGCTTTGGATATGAGAAAGCTTCCATCTCCTTATGCGCTGGCATAAGGCGGCAGGCAGTTCTGGGAAAAAGAGACACTGAGGTATTTTGCATTGTAATGACTCACCATCCCAGCCCGTCTGGGAGTGGGAAATTCTGTATGGTCATCTACCTGCCTGTCCCTCAGTTCCCTGGGTGTTTGCCTGGACAGCACAGGGTAGCTGTCACTCTCAGAACTGTGAATACCGCCAGTAATATAATTTGACTATTCCATTTAATTCTTTTCAGGGAGGAAAACAGGAGATTTTCCCTTGCACAAGGACATCTGTAGCTCGGAGTTAAATGCTGCTGTCACTCTGGTACCACTTTGTGAAAATAAACCTGAGACATGGTTTTCATGGCAAGTGATTAGGACAGCAAGCAACTTCTTTTCATAGCAAGACAGATCAAAGTACAAGAAAATACAGCTGTATACATTTGATATTTAATATTTAAAAATTAAATTATCTGTAGCCCCAACTCCTGAGAAGTTATCAATGAAACATTCACAGTTACTGTGTAGGGCCCTTGTTCTGTCCTTTCTGCACATGGACGCCAAATCTGTTTGTGGTCTGCAGTTTTAAACTGCTGCTACCCCTCACTCCCACCAACGTCAAATATTGTCTCCAGTATGGTTACAAAGCACAGTTTTGTTCCCAACAACAGCAGCAAAAGAATGGTCTCTTTCCTGCGTGAACTCACAGCTGCTGCCTGAAAGAACCAAATGCATTTTCTCTGTATTCTGTTTCTGCTAGTCCTGCAGCACAGCCTTGGTTTCCAGCATGAGAATAAGGTGTGTTGCACATAACCTGACAGCTGCCCACAAACAAAAAATGCTTAACAGATGGAGTGGTATATTTTACTTGAGCTGGCTGGCCTAAGAGGAAGGAAAGCATTATCAAATTATTTCGTTAATTATTACATTCATTACCAAATTATTACAACTTATAAGGTATACATATGAATTGCTCCGCAGTGTTGCTACAGATAAAGCAAGTCACCTAAGCAATGCACAGATATATGAGCTTAATGCCACACTAAGAACTGAGGGGTGCCTTTGGGCCAGCACTGGTCTCAGTGACTCAGGGGTCTGAAGAAGCAACTCGGGAAGGACGACTTGATCCTTGATTCAGCCTAAAGGGTGCCTGCTGTTGATGCAGCTTGGATAACTTAAATGACTCTTACATGGGGAAGTCACGCCCTAAGAAAAAGAAAAGGCACTAAATTCACTTACTGATCTGGGCTGAAAATCCTCTTCTTGAAGTCCCCATTTGTCTTTGTGGTATTGATAATAGACCATGTTCTGTTTCATTACTTCATCTTTCTGGTCAAATAGAAGGTAACTAGCAGCACAAGAGGCTGCATTCTTCATGTCATTCACTAATTAATAGACAGAGAAACAAATCCACACGAGGTAAATAAACAAAAACACAATGCCACCTTTCCACCACCTGCGTTAAACATATATTAAAAAAAAAATGTTTTCAAGGCAGAATATGCTATTTTTATGTTTTGAAACAGGTAAGGTCATGATTCAGAAGTGGAGACTTACCTGACAAAAGCTTATGGCTACAGGAGTCAGGTCATGAACGAGAGCAATCCAAATTACTTGGCTTCCCTAAGAACTACCTTCTTCTTTGTAGGGAAAATGGGGATAACTTACCATTAACTCAGAAGATAGTTTTCCTATGGCCTTATTTTCTCATGGTGGTTTTCTAAGATAATCCTAACCAAATGTCTCTCCCAGCTACAGAGCCATCAACCCACAGCTTGGAGATGCCTACTGTGGGACTTCTTAAAGAAACAAATAAACAAATTTTTAAAAATCCACTTCATTTTACTTGGATTGACAAAGATGGAAGAGTCAATATTTGTAGGCAAAAAACATGCAAAAGTCATTAATGGCTTGGCTATGCCTTTCCCTTGGTGTTGGAGCCTGGAAGAGCAGCACTAAGGGCTAAATACGTTCTTAGAAGTGCAGGAAGTTCCCCAAAAAACCACAGAATTCATTGAATGATGTACTTATCAAAATGAATAAGCACTGAGCACCAGAACACTATCATGTCTGTTTGTTATGTGGTCCTCTCTTTCTTTAAAATGCATGGAGCCTCATGTGCTCTATTCTAATGAGAGTATGAGAATCCACTAGGAAAAAGAGAATGGCATGAAATAACTCTGCAGGTTTGTCTCTGGAAGAAATTCTGAATAATAAATTGAGAATTTAGTATTCATTCAGTAGGTACTGCTTTGTTAAGTGTGTTACCTTGAGGTCACAATCTTTCTTACTGAAGGAACTGGGTCTGTTCAGTCTGGGGAAAAGGAGGCTGAGGGAAGACCTTATTGCTCTCTTCCAATATCTGAAAGGTGCTTACAGCGAGAGCAGGGTGGTCTCTTCTCACTGGTGACAGGTGACAGGATGAGGGGAAATGGCCTCAAGTTGCACCAGGGTAAGTTTAGGTTGGATATCAGGAAAAACTTCTGTACAGAAAGGGTTGTTAAGCACTGGAATGGGCTCTGCAGGGAGGTGGTTGAGTCACCATCCTTGCATGTGTTTAAAAACCGTTTGGATGTGGTGCTCAGGAACATGATTTAGTGCAGGGTTGTTAGAGTTTGGGTGGTATGGTTAGGTTGTGGTTGGACTTGATGATCTTTAAGGTCTTTTCCAAACTGAGTGATTCTATGATTCTATGATTCTCTTTTAATGAACAAGTAAGAAATTTAAGAATAAAGTTCTTGTTAGAAGTTCAGCTGCTTAACCATGTGGGTCCAAAAGCTTGGTCACCTCTTTTTTATTTCTACATATGTGTATAGAATCCATCAGTGCCACTGCATGCATTCTAGTGTATAGGAAGTGGCTGACACTATTTACCCTAAGATGTCATATTATGAGTTGCTTCATAAAGGTGTAAGAGTTGGTGTATTACATATTTTATCATAAAATACATATGGTGAACATTTAATGTTTATATGAAATTCTGAAAAGTGCAAGTAAATTGTGCTGGCAGCAGGTACAGAATGAGGGGTGGTGATGTGTCAGATCACACTTGCTCTGTAACTGTCACAACTTTCCAGCACTCAAGTAGAGATCAGTCACAAGCAAAAATATCTTAAAACAAAGGGACTTGCCTGGGCAGAATTCAACCTCTATGTTTAGAAATTCACTTTATCATGAACAATTTTATGATCCAGGGATCCAACATGCTCATCTCCCAAGTCTATAGTTATATACTGAGAAAAAGATATGGAGCATCTCAGACTTACAGCCCCAGCACAGGCAAAAATGCAGATTATGGAGATCACTATTTATTTCCAAACCATAAAAAGACAAGGAATGGAAGCTCTCCCACATCATCCCAACATTATTTAAGTCCATTAAATCACTACTTACATTTATAATACGCAAACTGTAAGTAATGGTACATGGTGGCCACAAATTTCTCAACAACAAAGCCTCCTATAATGGGTGTCAGATTACTTTCACACTGCACTTTGCATGCAAGGACTTCAATATAATGATCTAGAAGGAAGAAAACAGCAACACGGGATATAAGTAGAACACACTGTTACAACCCTTCCCAGTAGCTACCCATCAAAATTTAGCCTTATAATGGTTAAGTCCTGTGCATCTGAAGCTTGCTGCTTGGAATTACTGAAGTACATCTCCAGTGCTGGCATTCAGCCCTTCTGGCAAAATCAGTAGGATCAGCATTTCAAGGATATCAAAACTACAATTCCAGAGAACTAAGCAGTTAGGTTTCACTGACACCTACAGGCAGTCTGTGGTGCTAGGTTTTATACAAAGCATTGTGGAGCACAGTTTTATTAGCAAACTATGAAATGAGCAATGGTATTTCTGAAAGCCTTTGTAATTAAACTGAATTACTGCATAGTTAAGGTCTGCCTTACTACAGTAGTATCACAGAGAAAGACACCAGGTGATTGCAAAATAAACCTCTAGAGATGGCTGCATTTTATGCCAGATGTTTGGATGTTCTAAAAGACATGGACATGCTGCACACTACAGAGAAACTTTAATCCAAAAAGGTTTAAGGTTACATGCTTTCCCAGTCTGAAAAACTAGGTACGATGGGGTGGGGCTAGAAGTGATTTTATCTTCAATATCTGGTCATGCACCAGCAGTGTGCCCTTGTGGCCAAAAAAGGCCAATGGCCTTTAGAAGAGTGTGGCCAGCAGGTTGAGAGAGGTAATCCTCCCCCTTTACTCTGCCCTTATAAGTCTCATCTGGAGTACTGTGTCCAGTTCTGGGCTCCCCAGTACAAAACAGACAGGGATCTCTTGGAGAGAGTCCAGCGGAGGGCCACAAAGATGGTGAAGGGCCTGGAGCATCTCTCCTATGAAGAAAGGCTGAGTGAGCTGGGTCTGTTCAGCCTTGAGAAAAGAAGACTGAGATGGGACCTGATCCAGGTCTATAAATATCTAAGGTGTGGGGGGCAGAATGGCGAGGCCAGACTGTTTTCAGCAGTGTGCGGAGACAGGACAAGGGGAAACAGACAGAAACTGCAGCATAGGAAGTTCGGCACAGATGCGCACAAGAACTTCTTTACAGTGAGGTGACGGAGCACTGGAACAGGCTGCCCAGGGAGGTGGTGGAGTCTCCTTCTCTGGAGATGTTCAAGACCTGCCTGGACAACACCTACTTGTGCAACCTGGTGTTGGGAATCTGCTTTGGCAGGGGGATTGGACTCGATGATCTCTGGAGGTCCCTTCCAACCGCTACGATACTGTGATTCTGTGATTCAAGAAAATATCTCCCAAGAAAGCCTTCCATCCAAGAATTCCATTTTCAGGACATACATACAGTATTTGAAACTGCCCACATCATGCAGTACTTCTACCTTTCTGTCTCACCACTACTGCTGGAACAGTCTTTTCCTTCCTTCCATGGAGGAAGAGCATTGACAGTAAGTGCTAGTCATAAATGAGCACTGACAAATATACAGACATCCTTTACAGTGGTTTAGAGGTGATCCAAACCACAGGGGCTGTTTCATGGTTTAATGTTGTATGGGAACTGCTGAATCATGGCCTGAAGAACCTCTGATGACCACCTGAGGCGAGCACTGAGTCAGCCATAGGAGCACAGGTGAAGGCAATTCAGCTGTGTGATGGAAGGTGTGGAGCCTGGCTGCACCTCTCCTAGACCCATTTAAGAGCTGACTGCTGGTGCGAAGGATCTCTTCTGGAGATCCCTCCTTTGGAGCTTTACAGTGAGCCCAGGACAAGGGTAAGCACTCTATCTATTCTTTCCTTGGTGTAACAACCTGCTTAGCCAAACTCTCTTGTATTTCATAATTGTAACATCTGTATATTCATTGATTATAAACTGTTTATTCATTTTCTTCCACTCCTTATCTACTGTTCTAGGCACTTGCCACCTTTGCTGAAGTAATGCTTGAGGAAGCAGTAGCTATTCCATATTAGCAGTACAGGTAGATATTAATTCACTACTATGAGATACCATGGAGCTGCCCTTTCTTTAAATTTCTTTACAAAGCACGCGGGCATTCTTCACACAAACACTGTCAGTAGCACTCAGCTCAGTGCACTGGAGAAATGCCTTCTTTCATTACAGAAGTGCATGGGAAATATGCACGTGCTATTCTGACACTTAAAAGAGGAGGCACTGCTTTCTCATTAAAAAGCAATATTTTTTTAAGCTACGCTCTTAGGAAATCTCATTTGCTAGAAAACTTTCCTTTTACAGAAGGAAAGATAAAAAATAACTAACAGAAACTTGATGCACACTTTTTTCATAAATATGACAACAGTGGTACACAAACCACAAAGCAGATTTTGAAGACTAATCGCTGAGCATCAGAGACAAATTGATATTGAAATTATGGTCAAGAGGTCTGTCTGCTTAGCAGTTGCTAGATGGATGGAACAGATGTTACTTACATGTGTGTGTTATCCTGACACTCTTGATTTCCAAGTTAATGTAAGAACTGTTTTAATTTTCTGACAACACTCACTTATGCTACTAAGCAGAAAAGTAAACCACAATTCAAACATTTTTCAGGGTATCTAATAACCTCGTATTGGCCCAAACTAAACAGGGGGCACCATGAGCAGCTTCCATTGCAAACTAAGGAAGGAGGACTTAGGCAGCTGATCCTATAGATGAAACTGAATATACTTTCAGGACTTCTTTCTTGACTGTTTCCTAAGTACTCACCTGCAATGGAGAGATAGAAGTCTTTAAAATCTTTAATCTCTCGGGAGCCTTCACAGGCTGCTATACAGTCATCGTAGGCTTTGAAGAAATCAGGAAGAGCCAGTTCCATATCTGAGATGGATGTTCTCCAGTTGTCACCATTGTATGCTCTCACAGCCCTGACAAAGAGATTCTGAAAAATTGGCAGGAATGAACTACCAGTAAGTGACCTGTGGAAAGCTGTGTGTAAATTCAAATACAGTAAGTGGTATCTCAGCATTTTTGAATTACTAGATAAGCTGTTATCCTATTAATATGAAACAGATGATGAACAGATTTTATCAGATATTTCCTACATAGTTGAGTATGTAGCTCCATTTTAGACAAACTGGAAAAGCCTGCTGGAAAAAGATAATGTGATTCCAAAGAGCATGTTTTGAGATGGTGATTTTCAGCATCTTAACATAAAAAAAAAAAAAAGAAAAAAAAAAAAAAACACACCACAATTTTAAGCTGTACCTCTGCAGCACTCGCAGCATTTGAATAACTCCATGTACTTGCTTAATTCCATTAGCTATCTGCATGTAGTAGCTTTCAAGTATGCCACTCCATGTCATTTGCTGTGACTTATGGAACAGTGAAAAGCAAATGATGTAAGAATTATTGCAGGCATTAAAAAAGAGGCACAGAGATGTCTGAAGTATCTAACAAGATAAAAAGGAGAGGTAGGAGCTGAGAACATGTAAGTAAATTACATCTTCAAATCTCATGCAGTAATGGAATGGTTCCAAAAGACTGAACTGGGAGTAAACACACCTCATAAGGCTTTGTCTCCAAGTCTTTAATGTGCTCCTCAGCATCAGGTATGCTCTTATAGTAGGCCATATTTCTTTGCATCATTTCATCATCTGGATGCTTCAGAAGAAACGTGTGAGCTGCTGCAATAGCTTTTGGAAGGTTATTAGCCTAAACATGAAAATAGGGGGAGAGAAGGGGGGGGGGCCCCGGCGGGGCGCCGAAAAAAAATATAAGATTCCTGCAGGATCTATTTTTGCAAGCTTACCAGTGCTAAAAACACATTCTCAGCAGAGACAGTGGTACACTGAAGCTGATACAATACTTCTCAGCTTACTACTAGCTGCACCACTATGAACACTTCATTTTTTTTTTTTTTTTAAAGGCTGTTATTGCTGCAAATAGTATAAATGATTGTAAGTTAAAAGAACACTTCTGCCCTTCTCACTTCTCTGTTCATAAAGCTGACGATGCATAAAATTATATTGTTACTCATGTGTAGGATTAATCACACAGCAATTACTGATGCCCAAGTATGGAATCATCACTCACCTCCTCTCTGTGGTGTTTATGTAGCCTATTTGTCTAGCAGCATGCAAGACATTGCTATGATAATATACCATCCTGGAGCTGTTATGAAGTTAAACAGCAGGTATTTGTTCAATAACTGTTCTAATGTACTACATGATTTTTTTGTACTGGATTTTAAACTAAATTTAACCCCTGTATCAGAAGTATATATTACTCATATACATATTTACATCTACATTTGTATGTGTATTTTTAATATTTTATGTAAGCATAACTTTCCAAATACATATCATATACACATTATATAGAGAGTGACAGTGAAAGTAAAAGCCTTATGTACTAGTGAAATGTTAAGCACTTCTCTTGTAAGCTGAGATCCAGATCAGTCCATCCAGCATAGGTGCTACTGAGTTCCATTAAACATCTGAAATAGCTTATGGCAGTGTATATATGAAACCATGAGCAAGAATTACAAGCATATATGCACACATACGCACTCATCCATTTGCATCCGTAAAAGGCAGCTTTTCATTTCAGAGGAAACCTGAGAGACTGTCACACCAGAAGAAACACTTTGACCCTAATACGAGCTCTCACTGCTGTGCTGCAGTAAGTACCAATGCAATGGGATCACGCCAGCTGCATTTCCTGCTGTCCCCAAACTATGCACTTCTAGCCAGCCCACATGCTGCTGAATGTGCGGGGAAAGCACTTTCATCAAATGCCCGAGTTCTCCCATGCTTAATGCTTTAACCCTATTTGCTGGGAAGCTTGCCAATCTCTCATCTTCACTTGGTACGTGATTTACTCTTGATTGTAACTTTCATGCTAAAAAAAGAAAGTGAGTGAGGGGAAAAAAAGAAAGCTTTGTAGAAACACATTCCTATGTAAACTCAGTGGCTACCAGGCAGCTCCCTCCAGAGGAGCAAAAGCAGCACAAGAACATCTGCTCCCAGGATCATCTAAGACGTGGCAAAATTTCACTCCTGAACCCACCTGAATAAATACGTGCTCACTCAAAAAAAAAAAAAAAAATCCATGGAGTGTTTCTTTATGCCTTCTTTCTGTATTATATGTGATATTATGGAAGAAGAAGGAAGAAAGTGACACTCCCTTCTTCAGAAAACCACCAGCCAAGAAAAAGTTCTCTGCAGGCAGCAGTTCGTATTTTTAGAAAGCCCATTTAGAGCTCTCCAAGTGAGTGATGAAAGCTCAAAGCTGGAATACAGTATAAAAACAAAGGCAATATAAATGACAGCACTGATCAGAGGTACACCAAATTGCTGTTCACAAACCTACTGCAAATGGGGCTGGAAAACAGCTTAAAGGCACGCTCACATTCGAGTCATTCACATGTCAGAAAATGTCAGAAACAGTACATAGGAATTGTTTTTTGCTCCATGACCGTTCCTGATGTGGTGCAGTCATAGCCACATTTGTATGTACTACGGGGGGAACAAATAAAGAAAGACAATAAATGGAAACACTTGTGGTGGTGTCATTTTGGTATATGGCTTTGAGAGTTAGCAGTGCCTGCCATTCAAAAGAAATGTCTCATTTGGTACCTTCTACTCTCCATGTGAAGAAACTAAAGCATACTAAGGTAAGTTCTTCTGTACAGCCTTTGGGGTAGCTTCAAATGCTTAGAACTAGGCTGGTGTGATGCTGCTCATCGTGTGATACTACGTGTGTATGGATACTGATCACTGGTGTTCTGTGAGACTGTTTCCCCGCTTTGGTTTATATAACTTGTGAAAATAATTTCAAATTTCCATATGGGAAAGACATTCCTACAAATATGACATAGCAACAGTTACTAAGATGTGTATGTTTTAAGCAAAGGTCACAGAAGGAATGCACAAGCATACAATCTCATATAATGAATACTGGGCTACACCAGGACCAAATCCCTAAAAGAAATGGCAATCCATCCAAACAAAAGAGGTCAGCTTGTTTTCTTTCCTCACAGATACTGCATTTATTTGGAATGCAAGTGACAGTGAATTTGAGGGAATGGAATGAGGGCCCTGGTTTAGAGAACAAAAAATGAAAATGTGGAGTGGGAAAATAGAAATAGAATAGTGAAATAGATCCTGGTGGATCATCCAGGAGGATGACAAGAAGCTACAGAAACAAGAGTGAATGTGGTGGAAGTGGTGCTCCCAGTCCTGGGTGGCCAAAGAGCAAAAGGCAAATAACATTCCAGGGCTGGCATTAGTGCTACACTCCAGCAGCCACTTCTATAAAATCTATAGAATCATTAAGGTTTGGAAAGACCTCCACCATCATCTAGTCCAACCATCAGCCCATCATCACCACGACTGATAACCACATCCCTCAATGCCACATCCACATGGTTCTTCTACATCTTCAGAGACAGTGACTCCACCACTTCCCTGGGCAGCCTGTTCCACCACCTCACCACCACTTCCAAGAAGAAAAGTTTGCTCATATCCATCTTCAACCTCCCCTGGAACAACCTGACGCCATTCCCTCCCATCTTATCACTGTTACCTGGAAGAAGTTGACCCCCACTTCACCACAACCTGCTTTCAGGTGGTTGTAGAGATCATACAGTTCTCCCGAGCCTCCTCATCTCCTGACTGAACAATTCCAGTTCCCTCAGCCATTCTTCATAAGACTTGTGCTTCCGACCCTTCAACAGTTTTGCTTTATGCCTTCCTTTGGATGTAACAATGCCAAAGCAGCGCAGGCACTGTGCAAGCTACATGCTGGGGGCTGCTGTGACTGCAAGAATGGGACTAGCAGGGACTGAGCGAGAAACCTGGACGTGCTGGAGGAGAGGAAGCAGAAATGAGTGCTCACAATAGCACAGTGGAGACTGAAAAGGTCTGAGGTAGATTTTAAACTAAGTCATAAGAAAGTAATGCAGGTGGGAAGATTGGATAGCTGGGGGTAGGAACAGCATGGCACTGGGATAAGGAGGCCGTCCAATAGCTCGTCTTGATGAGAACCGGAGTTTAAAGCAGGGCTGCGCAGGATGAGTGATGACGAAGGAGCTGGGCAGCACTAAGTGGACACGCAGGCGTGTGACAGCGGTGACACGAGGCAGGTGTGAAGGCGGAGAGGGAGCCGGGGCGGCGCAAGGCCGGGCCTCACCTTGAAGTAGGCGAACTGCAGGTACTTGTAGGGCTCGCGGCGCTGGAACTCCTCGAGCAGCTCGCGGCCGGGCTGGGCCTGGCGGAAGGCGGGCAGCCCCTGCTTGCAGCGCCGCAGGCACTGCGCCCGCCGCAGCACCCCGGCCAGCAGGCGCAGCTCGGCCAGCTCCCCATCGGCGGGCGGTGGGGCGGCGGGCGGCACGGCGGAGCTGCAGTTGTGGTGGCAGAAGGCCTCGCTGTCGCGCAGCAGGCGGTACAGCCGCACGCTCACCTCCAGGTAGCTGACGCTCTCGGGCCAGTTCTCCGTGCTGTACTGGTCCAGGCCGTAGCGGTAGGCGGATTCCAGCGGCATCAGCTCGTCCCGCGGGAAGCTACGGAAGCTGTACCGCTCGAACTGCGCGACCGCCGTCGCCACAAGCGCCGCCAGCAGCGCCCGCCACATCGCTGCGCCTCGGGCCCGGCCGGCACCACGTCGCCTCGGCGGGGAGAGACGGAGCGCAGCGACGGGGCCGGGCGGGGCGGGCCGGGGGCGGGGGGCTGCGCGGCCGGGCGGGACCGCTTGTGGGAGGGAGGAACAGCCCGGTCTCGGAAGCTAAGCAGGGCTGGGGCCGGTTGGCGCACGGATGGGAAGCTGTACGGAATCTGCGCGTTCTGAAGGCGGTTTGCCTGAGGGCTTTTCTATTTTTCTCAGAATCGTGAAGACTGGAAATGACTGCTAAGATCTTCGAGTCCAAGCGTCAGGCCACCACCACCACTGTGTCCTTAAGTGCCACATCCACATGTTTCTTGAACACCTTTAGGGACAGTGACTCCATTCACCTCCCTGGGCAGCCTGTCCCAGCGCCTCACTGCTCTTTCAGAGGATTATTTTTTCCTCATATCCAATGCAAACCTCCCCTGGTGCAACTTAAGGCCATTCCCTCTTGTCCCTCTCCTCTCTATCGTCTCCCTGTCATGCATATAAAGCTTCACATACAATATGGAAATTGTCTGGGTGGTGCTAACAGATGTAAGGCCAACTCCGTTTGGTGCCAGCAGCGTCACGGTACACTAATGCTAGTGCTTCCATGCAGAAATGCAGGCTGGGACAGGTGAAGGTGGGTGTAGGCAGCGTGGCCTTTCTGCCCAGTTAGAGCAACAGGGTCTTCCTCAAGCCCTCAAGCACTGGGGCATGTCCCTAGGCCCAATGGAGCTTGTGTGTGCTTGCAGGTGTTCCAGGAGGTGTGAGCTTGGGGAAAGTGACATGAAGATGGAGTAGGTGCAAAGTGGCTGGATGCTGCACAGAAGGAAAGGATCTGGGGGTGTTAGTTGGCAGCCAGCTGAACATGAGCCAGCAGTGTACCAGGAGGCCAGAAAGACCAATGGCATCCTGGCTTATATCAAAAGTGTGACCAGTGGGTCCAGGAAGGTGATTGTCCCCTGTACTCAGCCCTGGTGAGTGTTCAGTCTGGGGCCCCTCACTGCAAGAACATTGAGGCCCTGGAGCAGGTACACAGAAGGGCAACAATGTTATGAAGGGTCTGGAGCACAAGTATTTCAGGGAGCAGGTGATGGAACAGGGATTGTTCAGTCTGGAGATGCGGAGGCTCAGGGGGGACCTGTATGATCTCTACAACCACCTGAAAGCAGGTTGTGGTGAAGTAGGGGTCAACTTGTTCTCCCAGGTAACAGTGATAGGAGGGGAAGGAATGGCATCAGGTTGTGCCAGGGGAGGTTGAGGTTGGATATGAGGAAACTTTTCTTCTTGGAAGTGGGGGTGAGGTGGTGGGACAGGCTGCCCAGGGAAGTGGTGGAGTCACCGTCCCCGGAGATGTAGAAGAACCATGTGGATGTGGCACGGAGGGATACGGCTATCAGTCATGGTGATGATGGGCTGATGGTTGGAGTAGATGGTGGTAGAGGTCTTTTTCAGCCTTTATATATTCTGTGGTAAGAAGATGCCTGCTCAGCTGGACAGTATGTTGTGCTCACTCACGCTCATGAAACCTGCAGAGGGTTTGGGGTGGCTGAAACATAGGAATAGGTTTAGAGAAGGGACAATCTTTTGGGGGATTTGGCAGCTGTGTTGAAGGGGAAGCTGAGGGAAGTGAAATTAGGTACACTTATCATACTGCTGCTTAAAGAGTTCTTTGTGCTGTCCAAAGCAGGTGAAGTTTGTAAGATGTGGGTAGAGCAAGATGGAGGCAAACGTGGCAATGGGAGGGTGGCTGCTGCAGAGCAGAGGAAGGACGGAGATAGGTCTGTCACTGAAACATAGCGGTGTGCACCTTAAAACCAGCTGGAGAAGCTCCCCTAGTGCCTACGGCCATACCACCCTGGAAACGCCCGATCTCGTCTGATCTCGGAAGCTAAGCAGGGTCGGGCTCGGTTAGTACTTGGATGGGAGACTGCCTGGGAATACCGAGTGTCGTAGGCTTCTATTTTTGCTTTGGCGCTGCTGTCTCCAAATGCGCACGGCGGCTCTGCATTTTCTTTTCTCTTTGCACCTTTTTAGCTGGGACTACCCCTCACCTCCGGCCGGCCCGCGCCCCTCTGTCGCACTTTCCCCACTCAGGCGCAGCGGTTCGCGGCCGCCCCTTCCCTTCCCGGTCCGGCCCCTTCAAGCCGCGGGGCGGGGCGAGTGGGGACCGGGTTCAGTCAGCTGACGGCGCCGTGCGCCGGGGTCGAACGCCGCTGAACGCTCCGCTGCTCGCTCGCTGCCGTCATGCTGCGGCTGCTGCTCCCGCTGGCCGGCCTGGCGGAGCTCCTCCGTGCGGCGGTGAGTCCTCTCGGCTCCTCGCACAGCGGGCGGCTCGCGTGTCCGCTCGGGCTGCCCAGGCTCGGAGGGGAGGTGAATGGCCCCTCAGGTGGCTGCCCCTAGGAAGGAGGACGCTGCCCCTAGGAAGGAGGACGCTGCACGGCCTTCGTTACTTTTTATTTAATAACAGCGACCTTTGAGCCGCTATCAATGAGTGCTTTAAGCTGGGGGTGCGGGCCAGGCCGGTTCCTTCCTTCCCGCAGCGCCTTTCGTTTCGGCGGCACCCGCGTGTGTGAGGAAGTGAGGCGGCCGCTTCTCGCCCCGCCAGCCCCTCTGCTTCGCAGCTCTCGGGCTAACGCATACCTGGTTGGGGCTGGTTCTACCCCATCCACCCTTTAGGTCCATTTTATGAGGAATTACACATTAAGTGGCTTTGG